AAAGGAGATACACAGTGATAACAACCAATGACAACCGAGGAGAACACATGACTGAACATAACCTCGTGTATTTTGTCAAGCAGAATTTTCTTATCTAAAATTAATTCAATATATCACGAATATATAACAAATTTCCCTTCGTACTTATGTTTCTCGGATTTGTAGCTTTTCCCGCTTCACTGATACGGCAACTGTCTACAATAGATTAATATTTTTCATAGATAAATTCAAGTTTGCCTGTGCATATTACGTAACACAAACAATGACCGAACAGGACGTCGAACTTATCGTCTGTGTGCCTGGTAATTATTCCTTTAGTTTTATCCACTCAACAGCGTCGCGAGCATTAGACTAGGTTTCCAATATTTCTTTCAGGTCAAAGATTATGTATAGCCGACAAAGACAACGTAGCCGGACCTGGCACGTACGAGCAGCAGGGCTACATCTACTCGAAGCTCGCTGGCGTCGTGAAATTGGTGACAAACGACAAGGTAAGTCTCCGAATCGTGAGACCGACCGTGTAGTTCACGCGAGTACGCGAGTTGACAGGCCCACAGATTTTAACAATACACAGTGAACATTTCGATTACACTATGTCTTCATCAGCACAAGTTAAAAATGCGAAAAGTGAATTAATCAAATGAGTGAATTGAAAGTAGTTGCACAATAAATTGTGCGATGAGAAAATAAAAAGTAAAAAGGTCACTGCTTGAAAAACACGAATTCAGATACAGAAGAAGCTAAGACGAAGTTCAGAAGCATAGTTAATAGTTTAGAGTAAAATAAGAGGACTGCGGTAACGTACGAAAGTGATATTTTTTTAAGTCGAGTGTTAAAAAGACCGAATGTCTTGTTTATCGTAACAATGCGAATGAATATCTCTAAACACACATCCTTTTCAGACTCGTACGATTGAGGTACATGGTATAACGGAACAAAGCATTGTCCCTGCACCAGGAGACATTGTAACCGCCATGATCACGGTAGTTAATCAGAGATTTTGCAAGTGCAGCATCAAGTGCGTTGGCGACACAGTGCTGACGAGACCCTATAAAGGAATACTGAGGAAGGAGGACGTCCGTGCGATTGACAAAGACAAGATAGAGATGTACAAGTGCTATCGACCCGGAGACATCATTCTCGCGAGAGTTGTATCCTTTTGTTCTGCGAAACGGTAGCATTTAAGCATCGAGGATACGCCTGTGTTCTTTCCTATACCTTTCGATAGATGCCAATGACGGAGATACACACTTATCAGTTGAGCACTGCGGAAAATGAACTAGGGGTAGTCATAGCTCACAGTGAGGAAGGTAAAGGCTCAGTGTGCACTTTGTACCTTGGTGGAAATGTTTTACTGAAAGTACAATGAAATTTGGCTGAAATATAGTTGAAAATCTCTGCCCGTTTCATTATCTCGTTTTGATATTTCGGCAACTTTTCATCAAAAAGTATAACAGTTTTTAGTTAAATTTAGTAAATTTTGCGTCTAATATTTTATAAATTCTTTACTACTTTTCAACAGTACTTTTTAATTCTTACATGTATCACATTGAATTTCATAAGGAAAATTATATTTTGAGATACATCAAGTGATTCTTCACTAACTTTTGTTTCACTTTTTATCGATTTTACTTCTAGCAAAATGTTTCCATCAATGTATTTCCTTTTCCTCTGTCTTGGGCCCGGTTTCACCAATGTCGCTTAACTTTAAGCTTAGCTTAATTCGTTCTATGTTCCTTTCCAACTGTTTCCAACTCTGAAAAGAGACAAACACAAATTCAATTAAGATTAAAGTTAAGCAGCGTTTGGTGAAATCGGACCTTACTCTAATAGGGTTTGGGAAGTAACTCGTTACTTGTAACTAAGTCACAGTTTCATTTACTTTTTTTTGTAACTCTAACTTAACTTCGTTACTTTCTCTCCGCCTGTAACTGTAACTTAACTCAGTTACATTAATAGTTACTTTATATATACATGTTTTTATTGTATATGTATATATATACATACTGCTACTGACTTATTATTATCTGACAGGTGTTGCCATGGTACCCATCAGCTGGATACAGATGCAATGTCCGAAATCTCTATGCAAAGAATTCCGTAAAGTTGCTAAGGTGGTGCCAGAACACATCGCGGCGGAGCAGGTCGAATAATGAGTCTACAAATAAATCGTCCTTCATCAACATAATATTTTTTAGATCCTTATTCAATTCTTTTCTAACTATGATAGTTCGTACGAGCGTAATCCTTGCCTATTGACATAATTAAAGATCGACAATTTGGAGCAACAGGCGAAAGAGATCCTGAACATTTATTTTCATTTTATTTCTTGTACATCTTTTATTTCGTATTTGATTCGAAAAAGAAAAAAATATATATATTTTTTTAAATACATGTGTATCCTCTTTTTCGCTGCTTCCTCTTTCTCCGTCGTTATTGGCTGCGTTCAACGAAAGAAGCTTAACAACAGTTGTAAAATTCGTAAATTTGATTTGAGTATGCTCTTAGATTCTACCATAATTAAGAGCATATGCCAATCAGATTCAAGATTTCCCTTGAGAAAATTTACTTTCAACAAAATTTTAAAAGTAATCTTTCAAATCGAAGAGTTTACTTAAAGAAGTTAAAAGTTCAGAAATTTTAGAGTAATTTTAGATAGCCAAGCCTGTCGAAGTTCCCGCTAGAGAACCGCGCGGCATAGCACTTTCTTTCGTAAGAAGAAAACCGCGCGCGGGATTATAAACAAGTATAAATGTCATCCAATCTCAAGAATTATATAATTTAATTTTTTGAATATCTTATTTAAAAAAAAAAGTTTTATCTGCTTCCCCCTTAAAAGTATCTTCTCTACAAAAGTAATGATATCAAATGACGCCAACTAAACTGAATATTTATACAAACTAGGTACTTTATTATTTTTTATATTAGACTGTTATATCCAAACAATATCAAGCATAAAATTTTATCGGAAGAAATAAAGGAAATAATATTAATGAGACAAATTTTTTATACTTATTCAACAATGCAAACAAATTTAATACAACTAAATATTTTATTAAAAGATCACCTTTTCTAATTTAATTGTGAGATACATATTGATCCTGATTCATGACATTATTATTTACTAAAAAAAATTTGGCGCTGCTAAACCCAATGTTAATTGCGCTCTTCCTCCTTCCTTACTAAAGTGTTAAACTCTTTCTTTCTTTTGTGTATATGCGCGCGCGAGTTATGGATTAGGAATGAGAAGTAATTGTAAAAGTTTAGATTGTATACTTCACTGGTTTAGCAGCGCCAAGTTTTTTTGCCGCGCAGCAAGCGTTGCCGTATTCACAATCAGTGGGCAGGAGCCATGTCTCGTGATTATATCACATACTTTTCACAATTCTTAAAGTTTTCATTTAAATTCTTAAAGTAAGTTTTAAGTTTACCTTAAATAAAAGTTTAAAGTGCCCAAATTTACTTTTCATATTTTTTATTTTTCTAAAATAAAATTTTAAGGTTTTCTGAGGTATATTTTCCCAAGGATTTTACAACAGTTGAAAAGCAACTTTTTCCGCTGAACGCGGCCATCGGCGCTCGGTAGTCGGTGGCGGTGAGTGGCAGCACCGCCAGTGGCGTCAGTGTTTCAATGTAAATATTTATCGTGCCCACGAATGCCCGTTTATTGCCGTTCCAAACATTTTACATTATTCGTTGTCATTTGACAAAATAGCAGTACATGTCAGCGAATATGACGGAGGCGTCATTTTTAAAGCCGTCGGACACCGAATCGTTGAATTACACTCATGGTGAGCGCCGTTGCGATTTCTAAGGTTAGATGCGCGATCTGTGTGTACACACAGTAGAAATGTACAGGACATTGGAGCTAAATAGAGTTAAATAGGCAGCCTAATAATTCGAATCTTATTATGTGAATTCATATACCGTTTTTCCATCTGTCTCGTGCGCCGGATTCTTTTCAGACACAACACAGTTTCGTCAGATGGAATATTGTCGTCAGCAAATTCACGTATTAATCAATGAACGATTTCTAATGATTTGTATCTAAATGCTAAATTTAGCATTCAATACCATACCCCTTTCTCCGTACTGTAAAGAAATCTTATTGCGAAAAATATTACCCCAGCCAGGACTCGAACCTGGGACCTCCCTCAATCTGTGACGGGTGTCTTAATTATGTACAGAACATTCCGCAGTTATTAATCCTAAAATTCAATTACTGCAAACTGACTAGTTGCGCACTGAATTGGTGTCGAATAAGCGATATACTTATGGGCTGATTTTGTTTAATTTGTCTAATGTTCAGCGTTCCCTCAGATCGTGTTAGTTGGATATATAATATTAAGTGACTCATCGTCTTTCTATTGTTCTTTAAATCTTATGTTTAAACTGTGATAAATGTATGGCTGAAGAGGGTCACATGCCGTGACCGAAACGTTCCATTTCTAATCTATGTAACTTCCTACTAAGGAAGTCTCTTATAACATTCTATCTTATACCTATAATTAATTTTTCCACCTAAGATCAGGTGACGACTCACATAGCCCTTAATGTCTTCTATTAATTTTTACCTAAATGTATTGTTCTGAAGACTAAATTTAATATAGTTTTTATTGGAGTCTTACTAATATTAATTTGTCTAATTGCATTGATGCTGACATTATTGCATATTGCCTTAATAATCGCCGCAATAATTAGTCACTAAGCCAGATTGGGCTCCACGCAAAATACTAAAGCCTGATGTACGACGTGTCGTATGGGTCTGAAACGTTTTAGAACATTGTAATACCAACAGGCGTTCGTACTGCTTCACTTTTATATAATTAACTTGCACGTCTTCATCATCTTTTCTCCATCTGTAGGCAACCTTCCGATACCTAACTAAGTATCAGACTGTCGAGATGCTTTGCTGTGAAATCACGACGGCGCACTATTCACAATACGAGGTTTCTTTGGTCAGCTTCGCTCTCTCTTACTCATAATTTGCATATATCTTAAATAACGTTCTTTGTTTCTTTTTGTATAACAATTAAAATTAATTCTATGTTAACGACTCGTCACCGTTCAACTAATGACTTTGCGTTTTTCTTAATCACACTGTTACCGAAGAGGATCACGTTCGTGACTGAAACGTTTAACTGTATTCACAACAATAAGAGGATTATATCGACGATAACTGGCACAGTATATTTTCAATTAAAAATTAAATGTGTTGATTAGAAGAGCGAAGGATAGAGTCGCGTACTCTAAGCAAACTGAGCTTGTCTACCGGATTAATTGTATTGATTGTGATGCGATATACATTGGCCAAACTAAAAGACATATGGTTACACGAATAAACGAACATCGCAACGATATCAAGAAACCGACTAACAATCACTCAGTCGTCAGTAAGCATTGTGATATTATCGGACACGAATTTGGGATAATCCGGTAATTTTACACAAGGAGTCACACTGTAAAAAATGAGAAATTGCTGAAATGTTCTACATTAAGAAGTCTCTTTAACATACGATCAACTTACAATAAGATACTGACAACCTTAGCTCTATTTATGACAAGACTGTACGCACCACTTAATTTATTTACTTGTTTATATAATTAGTTATTTATTCGTCCTCTCCGTGTTGCTTGCTTTGTGACCTGTCGGACGAACGCAGACTGTTTTACATTGTAACGTTTTCAGTGTCCTATCAAACGCTGACAATGCTTGGCACTTTGATAAGTAGTTCAATTTTTTAAATTTTTTAACTCTATTCCTCTTTATCTTTATATACTCGAAACATTTTGTTTTATATAAGCAAACCAAAATCCTTCAAAAATTTGTCGACAATGTACGATTATAATGTACGATGTGTAATGTCCAATTTATCAACTTGCACAAATTTAAACGTATTCACTGGCTACAAAATAAAATTGACGCTATTGACGCAAAGAGGACATTGTAGATTAGGCTTAAATGTTAAACTCAGCTTGACTGGTTTCCGTGCAGATATTCAACAGATGATGCATGGTTTTGGTGACAGTAGCGAGCCGCTGCTCGAATCCGCGAAAATCATAGAGGACGTCGTGCTGCAACAGATAAAAACGATTGTCAGAAGAGCCTGCGAAATCGCGGACAGACGAGCTGGCTCGAAGAAGAGCAATGTCATCAGCGGAGAAGACCTACTCTTTCTCTTGCGTAAAGACAAAGTCAAGCTTCAGCGCATTATAAAACACCTTGGTAAATGTGCGACAAGTTTTTTTTTCCTTTCAATTGTGCGTACTGTACCGTTGTTCCTCACAAAGTGCGGCTTCCTCTTTCAGAGATCAAAGAACTGGGCAGCTCTGTTCAAAAGCTCATCACGCACGACACACCGCAAAATACCGTGGACGTCGAGCAGATGGACAGCGCCAAGAAGAAAGTGCCATTTCAGAGTTTTCTCGAGCAGCTCGACAACACGGGCGAACTCCTGGAAAGCTCGTCCTCCGTTGACGATGTTAAGCGACGTAGATGCATTCGCGCGGACATCGCGGCGAGGTCCATGGATGAGGTGCATTACATGAAATTCAGCAAGGCGCGCCGTGTCTCCTTCGCGAACAAAAATCGCCACAAGTTCTGCGATTGGATCTGCCTGGACGGTACCGCCTCAATTAGCATTGAAATTTATACGCGCAGCGCATACATCTTGTCATATTCTCGTTATCATTTTTTGTTACAGGTGACGTTACTATGTCAAAGCAAGCGCAAACGATCTTGTCTTACCTTGCGTACGAAACGGTTGCTCAAATTGTCGATCTCGCTTTTTTAGTCCGGCAAGATCAAGGTAAAATGCACGGCGATGCTATAGATCGGCAACGACTTAACTACGTTAATCCATTTACATTTAAATCCCGCTATCATAGTAAGGTATATACCTGTTGTACTCGTTAAAGAATTGAACTGACACGAAGCGACGTAATATATATTGTTTGTTTTCTTCTTTGTAGAATTTTATAATAAAACCATTGACTCCTTCCGAGATAACTGAGGCCCTGAGGCGGTACTGGTCTCCACAGCTAGACATGATAGGTCCATTTAATAGATGGTCCATGAGACGACCACACCTGAAACTCCTCTCATGTTAGATGTGAAATGCTAAAGAAGGTAAGAAGATCGATGTGTAACATTAATTAGTTTAAAAGAAAAAAGCAAAATAGGATTAATAATCTATCCCATAATTTATTAGTCGAGATTGTTTGCAAACAGTCAGGAAATGATACATGACATATGCAACGCTAAAATTGACTCGTATTTATTGACATTTTCTTGATTTCTTGTACATATGTTTCATTCCCTTAAATTATAACTTTGCACACGAGACCATATTGTTCTTTTTTTTAATCGCTTTTTGTTATATTATAAAAACGAATAAGTCACGTAATAATAATTGTAGAGATATTTATAATCCTCCTTAAAATAATTACAATATTCTCTGTACATTTGGTAGTCCCTGATTGCTTTTCAAAAGATAAAATACGGTTATTATACTACTGCTTGTGATTGCTGCAAGAGTGACACATTGTACTTTTCATAAAATATTTGAATTTTTTTACACGAATTACCAACGCTTTGGCGATACAGTGTGATATTAAAACCTAACACGACGTACTTATTCTACGGTCACTCACAAGTTTAGCACACTGAATGAAATAATATCTACAAGATCTTCAGCTAATATCATCAGTAACTGTCTATCCGTCTTACGAATTTACACAGATGCTAATTTTGTTTCTATATCATGGTGAGAGTAGTGTCGACACCCGTGCTTTCCCTTCTGCGCCCCCGGTTATGCAAGTTCCAGATTGATTGGCAGTCGACCAGTCGCAACACAGGGTACCCTTGTGCCCACCTAGTTCTAAAATCTTCCCTTGCGCGCCTGGTGGCATCTAGAACAGAAAAGTTGCGTGAATAAATTTTTTAATACTATACACCCGATCGATATATCGAGCCTGATACCTGTATATCTTGCGCATAACCGTACCTTGTATATATTTCCTCCGGTTTGTGTGCAGAGTAACATATAATTGCCGCTCTGATCGAAGGTAAATAATTTTCCGTGAACGGGGTTCTTCTCGATCTTAATTTTGGTCTCCCACAGGATCTTTCCAAAGTGGTTCAAGCTCCTTTGGCATAGCTTACCGTCCTCGCTTTGCGCGCATATATTCGTAAAATCGTTAATTAATTCTATGTCGATTATTGGGCTAGAGTGGCAGTTGAGATTGTCTATTATCTCGTTTCGCCTCAGATCATGTATCAGTATATTGCCATTGGACAGTCCCGTGATAAGTAATTGGCCATTGTGATTGAAAGCGGAACATAATGCGGTGACGTTCTGCTCCAGCGGCAACGTTCTCTCAAGCTTCCTCGTTTTTATGTCGTATAGCAACAGTTTACCCTCGCTGCCATTCGACACAGAGCATACGAACGTCGATTCCGTCGGGTTGCAGATCAATGTGACGATCCGCGAATTCTCGTGCTGGATATCCCAAAGCGTTTTGCAATCTCGCGTGTCGTGTAACTGGATTAAACCGTTGTTGTCGCCGTGCAGGAAGTAGCGCTCGTTTTTCGATATCCAGTCCAGCGAGGTGATAGCCTTGTTAGAATTTGCCGTGGCGGAAGTGAACGTAGTAACAGTCCTAATACAAGTATAAATGCCAAGAATTACATATAATTAATGTTTTTTATTAAATTTTTATTAAAATGTTGACAGAAAGACCGTGTGAACGCGTTTCTTACTTTGGTGAAGGAATCGGTGTCCACACTTTGATGACACCGTCGGCGTCGCCCGTTGCGACGTACGAGCCGCTTGCGTTACTCTTGCATTGAATTATGGAGGTTTTGTGCTCCGTGTACTCCTCCTGTAAACGTTCCCGTGTTGTACAAAGGCGATTGTAATTAACGATTGAGGCTTGCTGAGATTAGTAATGTTCTTTAACCTGACTTAAAAGAATATAACTGGAATCTATTTTCTCCTTGGTTTTCCTTTCGACAGCAGTATCCATAGAAGAGTCTCTTTTCCTAGAACTATTTAATCTTGAATCACAGCTGATGCTCCTCTTGGCGACTGCCTCGGACTTGCTAATCGAATTCACCCGTCCCTTCGTGTTCGTCCGTTTAGTCGAGATCATTTCAGGTTCTGCATTTTTTTTCACATTTGTTGCAGGCTTCCTACTTAGGATCGGACTGGATCCACCGCCAATATTTCTTATGAGATTCCTCAGTGTCTTTGGATTTTCCAGTAACGGCGACTCTCTGTTAGTTATAAGTCATTGTTATATTAAATTGTACAACTACTTTTTTTACGGAATACAATGGACGTAGACGTACTGAGCAATAATGTAAAAATCATCCATGAGGGGAGGATGTTGAGGTGCCGGACCCGGATTCACATCCGATATGCTTTCTATCTTAACAGATTCGCTCAACCGTTGCCTCAGCATTTCATTTTCCTCTTGCAAACGTTTCAATTTATTCGTGTCTTCGTCAATCGTGAGTAATGTTGGCTGTGGCATACACTAAGATAACGGCATATTCAATTTCTTGTTCATATCATATCTCATACCATACAATCGCATGTCTTTTATCTTTGTTTTGTTACAAAATAGTGCATTACAAAGTAGCGCGTTAAAAAATACTCATTTTTTTAATATAAAGTATTTTCTATTAAATCGGATTAACCCTTTAAGACATGGAGGGACACACACTGTCCTACCTATTTTTTCTTTAATTTTAGTAATTTTAAGTAACTGCTAGGCTGATTGTATTATTACGGTATACTCTGAGAAGCATAAGGAAATAAAAATAAATAGCAAATAGTTTAAATGTTTAATTATTAAATTACTAGAAACAAATAAAAGTGAAAAAGGGCATTTTTCAGACAGATTTATCTATGAACAAACTATTAAAAATCGACACGTCATAACATATTTACTACTTTGTCATTTTTCGTAAATTTCAATTTTATAATAAATTATTGAAATATCTTTATTTTGATCTTTTTGGCAAATTCATCCTCTTCAAATCAGGAAAATATATCTTGAACATAATTCGAACGACTTAATAAGGTGTACATAAAAGTTTGAAACTCTTTACAATCGACTCTCATATAAATTGAACATTTTTTAAAATATTTTAGTCCGCCATATCGGATCGGTCATTTTAAATTTGAAAACGACAATAAAAGGATTATATCGACGATAACTGGCAAAGTATATTTTCAATTAATACACGACGTTTTGACCAGTAATACTGGTCCTTCTCAAGTATCACCTATTAGATGTGACAGCAAGAAATTACAAAAAGTTACATTGTGTGAGCGAAAATACAGAAGTTGAATTTATAAAATATAAGTACGCAACAATGTCGCTAAAACTTACAGGTGATATATCAAAGAATACGATTGTGTAGAAGTGCATAGTCAGGAAATGGAATCACTCCGCACAGTAAGAATACAGAGTTAACAAATTAAAAAATTGAACTACTTGTCAAAGTGTCAAACGTTGTCAGCGTTTGAAGGGACACTGAAAACGTTACAATGTAAAACAGTCTGCGTTCGTACGACAGGTCACAAAGCAAGAGACACGGAGAGAACAAATAAATAACTAATTATATAAACAAGTAAATAAATTAAGTACAATCTTGTCATAAATAAAGCTAAGGTTTTCGGTATCTTGTAGGTTGATCGTATGTTCAAGAGACTTCTTAATGTAGAACAATTTCTCGTTTTTTAAAATGTGGCTCCATGTGTAAAATTACCGGATTATCCCAATCAAATTCGTGTCCGATAATATCACGATGCTTACTGACGACTGAGCAATTGTTAGTCGGTTTCTTGAATTCTTTAAATTTGAAAAATCTGACTTCAGATTTATACAACTAGTGAGCTGAGAAGCCTTCGAGTACAAAAACAATGTAAGACTAAAAACAGGCCAATAAATAAAAATAAAAACGAGCAATTTGAAAGATGGAATAAAGAAACCACGCCAGCTTTGCAAGGGAAGTGCTTTTTCACTTACTTGAAAGATGGTTGCTAGGAAATTATGTAAGGATACCAACATGGTATCGTGCCACTGCCTGCTAAAATGGACAGAGTAAGCCGGATTGTCTTCGGGATTTTTGATAAAAGCGAGAGCTGCAATGTCATAAAGCATACGAATTATAATCTCGGAGATTTGCAGTGTTGTAAATTCATAGGGAACGAGGGACGTACCAAACCATTCCTTCCATTCTGAATGACCCTGCAGCTCCGGTGCCATTTTGGTGAAGAACTCCTGTATCCTGTCTTGCTTACCGTTCACAGCCGCGTTTACCAAGTACATTTTTAGCACGGCATTCTCCAGCTTTCTGATCGCGGGCGTAAAATGGCTCTCCAGTCGGCAAAACATTCTAGTGTCCAAGTGTCCCCATAATTCCCTCAGTGACGTCAAGTCGTAATTATATATGTATTGCATTAATTGATCGACTATTTTGTCTACCTGTTCAACCAAACATCGTCGAGTGCTATTAAACGGTCGACATGTAATTTCCTTACCAATATGAATGTATAGTTTAGGTATGTACAAATGTATCTGTTCATATGACACCTTGTGTATAAGAAATGTAAGTGAATATGTAGCAGCAGAATGAAGCAAGCGCTGATAGAAACAATGACGAATGTATCACACAATTATCCTGAGTCTCGACCTCTTGATCAGGCATACCCTGATTTGGTTAAACACTTTGTTGTTTATCTTGCTATAATCCTCACCCTAAATCCTTTTTCCTTTTCCGCCTTCAGATCATTATCGAAAGCCTTCAGAGTCTGACTAAAACCTCTGAAGAGTAGGTACTCCTTTACCAACTCGTCCACATACTGTACGTGAGACATTTTCCCTCCAATTTCTTTGAAATGTTATTCGTTCGCACCAGTTGACAGCTGCATATTGTCATCCCTCGGCCATCTTGATTCCCCACTAGGAGCACAACACGCAACGCACGCAACACTTCGCCCGGATGTAGGGTTG